AAAGAAACGGCTCGGCCGATAGTAGCACAAAATGAGAAACAACAATAATATCATCGAGATACATCAAATGGTTTTTTTAAATTCTGAAATCGGTTCAGGCGTTTTTGAGCAAACGTCGATGAAAGTTCTAATCTTGACAAATGCAAAAATACCATAACTAATTTTTGAAAACTTTGATGAATTTTTAAAGCTAAACGAGTTGTCGTAGGGCCGTAATATTTTTAAAATCGGTTCAGAATTGCGGGCTAAAACGTAGACGAAAATTTTTTCACTTTTCTGCGATTTATAAAGAAACGGCTTGACCGATCGTCGCACAAAACTGACAAACAATAATAGTTCTCATCGAGATACACTCAAATGGCTTTTAAATTTTTGAAATACTTTTTCTAAATTTGGTCTCATTCGATTCAGAATGGCTTGAAACATCGAGAAAACATAAAATTACCGAATCGGATTTTTAATGAAAGCATAAACTTCTCCTTTGGGAAATTAAAAAACGTTTTGGGACGTATAAAAGATAAGAAGTTTATTTATATAAAAATATTGTTATTACCTAATTAGTAAAACAATTAAATACAATGCGTCTCAAAACCTCGAACTAAAAACCATAATATTGGTTCAAGTACATAAACCCCAAATCAATAAAAAACAATCTATATTAGAAAAAAAGTTATATCATTTCAAACTGATTATTAGTCTAATAAAGTTTTGACCAAAAAAAATGTTAGTGAAGAAACTGTGAGTCAACGGACAAACGAACAGTGACTTCATTTCTGTGCGAGTTCAAATGAGCACAAAGTTTTTTTAGATGAATATTTAGTCCAGTCAATTAATTATATTACAATTACTATTAAAAACAGCAACAAAAAAAAACAGATACATGATAAATACAATGGGAAAAAATTATCGAATCTCAAGTATCTCAAGACATTTTATAAAGAAAATGACAATTAGAAGTTTCAATATCTTGAAAATTGGTAAAACTCTTCCTTTGTTAGTTTGCCAGAGCATTTCCTTTCTGAGTTGGATAATATAGTTCCCCGAATTTAGAAACCAAGTTCAATGGTATATGATTTATTTAAAATGAAATAAAATATACAAGTTCTTTATTATTCCTGCTATCAGCAAAATTTTTTTACAATTTCCTATCATGAAAATTTTTGATGGTTGGTGAATTGAAAACCTAATGAGAATAAAAATAATAGAAAACCTTCTGAACGCAGCATTATTAGCAATCATTGTGTGTTAAGTCGATAGAACTAACCGGGAACGACCTTAATTACTTGCTTATATAATTAGACTCGTTCAAGGTTTCGATTAAAATCGAACATAAGCATGTTAAAGCAATAATTGGATAGATTCAAATGAATGTTTTTTGAGTTTGTATAGAACTAATTGTAAATAGAGAGAGACGTGCTCTATCAAAAATTTTCCGAGGTATACTAATTTAAAGCGTAAGTAAATGTACTGCCGTAGTTATTAGATGAGTTTTTCTTTTCAAAATGGTTAACGTACCATTGCAAAAGTTGTATTTAATAACTTCAAGTATATAGAGCATTTTGTTATAAGTTCTGAAATAATTGAATGTTTTTGTAAACATATGAAACTAGTTGGTATTGGTATTTGCCTTGTGGCAAGTTACATGAACTTCCCGATATGTGTAAATAATTGACTTAATCAATAAAATATAATTAATTTATGAGTGTTTAAAAGTATTCCCAGTGGATTTATCGCACATCATCGAAAACGAACCAACACTCTATCGTTATACCAAGTAAATCGTCTTATTTTAATTTTAACAAACGCCAAAAAAAAAACTACTCATTTTCTCAAACTTTAGTGAATTTTTAAAATTAAACTACTTGTCGTAAGGCTGTAATATTTCATTAAGTTCATAAGACCATGATATATATCGCAAAAAAAAGTTCCATAAAAATCGTCTTAAATTTTTTTTTCAACAGTTAATTACAAGAAAACGACTCGGTAGATTTTCACCTAAAACTAATCAGTATCATTCCCAACTAATATCTGTCGAACAGTTTTTGAAAATCAATTCGGTAGTATGAGTTTAAACGTGGACGAAAAGTTTAACACTTTTTATCAAATTACAACGAAACGGCTTGGCAGATCGTCGCACAAAGCTGACAAGCAATAGTCCTCCTTGAGATACATCAAATGGCTTTTAAATTTCTGAAACCGGTTCAGGCGTTTTTGAACAAACGTCGATGGAAGGTTTAATTTTGACAAATGCCAAAAAACGATATTTTTGCAAACTTTAAAGAATTTTCAAAATTAAACGACTTGTCGTAGGGTCGTAATATTTTAGCATAATCTATAAGACTATGGTATCTACTGTCAAAAAAAACAAATTTTTCGTCGAAAAAAATTTTTTTAACACTTTATTACAAGAAAACGGCCCGGCCGATCTTAACCATAAGCTAATCAGGTCGATTCTCAACCAATACGTTTCGAACGGTTTTGAATTTCAAAATCGATTCAGAATTGCGGGTTTAAAACGTTGACGAAAATTTTTCACTTTCTGCTATTTACAAAGAAACGGCTTGGCTGATCGTCGTGCAAAATTGATAAACGTTAGTCCTCATCGAGATACATCGAATGGCTTTTAAATTTTTGAAATCGGTCCAGTTGTCTTTTGAGAAAAGCCGACACGCACACACATACTTTTTCCAATTTTGGTCTCATTCGATCCAGAATGGCTTGAATCGTCGAGAAAACATAAAATTAGGGAATCGGATTTTTTGATGAAAACATAAACTTCTTCTTCGGGAAGTTAATTATTGCAAACCATATCAATTTGCTTAATATATATATTTACTATTATTTTTATTATTGATAATTTTTAAACGTAGATTTTTATAATTGAAATGATTAAGATTAAACATTTTTACAATTATCAATCATCAAATAATTCGCGCGCGTGTACCGGTTAGGTATGTTATGTTTATACTCGTATACATATACAACATACGTAGATAAAGGAAACGATTTTTTAAACAAAATTATTTGCAGCTATTCAAGTGGTATGCCATATACAAATATTGTTCCAATTATAATTTTAGTTGTTATTTTGTCCCCAGATATGATGAATAATTAGATATCAGAAGTGGCAACCAAGCATTACTATAATTCTTGCACAAACTGAAAAGTAAAAAATATTCTGGAAATGTAAATGGATTGTTGTTCATGTTAAATATGACATAAGTTAATATATTAAAGCAAAAATGGGTATAACTACTGCAAGATATATCAAATTAAGTGCAGGTTTGAATGTTGAAAAGTATTGAATATATATGCAGAACCCCGCTTAACGCTGCTTGCTCAACAATTTTTTTCAGCTCAAAGATTATTCAAAATATGGTTAAAATCCTGCAGAAAGTGGTAATTTATCAGAACAAACCCTTTTTGGATGAGACAAATGTGGAAGATGTGGAAAAAATAGTTAAAAAACAGCAGTTAGCCTTAAAACAAAAATATTCATAGTATTTCAAAGAAGAGTAGAAATTTCATTAGTGTTTCTCAATAGATCTTCATCATGATTGAAATTAGGAACCAACTTCTTCATAATGATTCCAATTTTGAGAGAAGATCAAAAGCAAAAGAAAGCGTTATAGATGGTTTACCCAGTTAAAAACTTCGGAAAAAATACAGAATAAAAATGCAAGTTGCATTAGATGCCTATCGACAAAAAAGTAAAACAATAGTAACCCAGAATAGCCTGACTCAATTAGATTTTTTTTATTTAATAAGTGTATTAATTTATGGTATATATATATATATATATATATACATATACACATTCATATATACACATTCACATATATACATAAGTGTTATATACACTTGTCGACTGACTTGTCACGCAGACAGAAAATATTCTAGTTTTAATACATTCCATATTTTTAATATTTAATTGTTTGCTTGTGATTTTACAATTTCGAGAAACCACTCTTTGAATATGTATAAAGAATAAAAAAACTTATCCATTTCAAATAAAACAGTTGAAAAAAATATTCGACAACAAATATTTATCACCATTATCATTATCAATATATATGGCAATACTTCAAGAAACTATAAAGCAATGTATAAATAATTCAATGATTGATAAGATAAGATAAAATAGTCCATTATCAACGAAAATAGTAAGATATAAACAATATTTATCAACTCAATGTGTATACACCTCAATTATGAAAACATTTATCTATTGCTCAATCATATATAATTGACAATGGTATAATATTTTAGGAAACAAGAAAGTTTTTAGATTAATAACTACTTATAACATAAGCTTTATAAAAAGTATTCGGTCAAAATTACAGGTGATCTATAAGCAAGATCTTTATGAAACCGCTAAACCAAAATCCTTATAATATATATAATGTACAATGAACTATATTTCATGTGTAATATATAAATATTATAGAATGCAGTTCAGTGTTTATATAGCTTTCAGTCCGATGTTTCCTGAGTTTTTTGAGTTTAGAGTGTATACTCGATTGATTGATATTGTAATAATTCATAGCAATAAAATATAATTAATATAACCCTAATACAACCTGAAATGTACATTATATTAAGTGTTAGGGTAGAAGTAAATTAAACACATATCTTCCACCAAACCAAATTAGTAAGTAATTATGAATATTGAAACTTTACAGTACCTTTCTGAAAGCAAATAATTCCCTCTGCAGTTTAAGCCGCTCGGCAGAAGGTTGCTGCCCCTTCCCTCGAATAAACTTTAACATTTTTCCCTAAAAATGTATATCAAGTTGTTAATTTATAATAAACAAATATTGTTTTTACAGAAATATGAATAGTAACTTTTATACTAGACAATCACAGACTTTTAACCTAAATTTAAAAATAACTTCATAAAACAGTAGAACAAAAGTGGTAAAAATTAAGAAAAACGAGTTTTAAAGAAATCACTTCACAACATAACCATTATTTTTGAACAACCGGCAAAATGTAATTTTTAAAAATACATGTCAAACACATTTTTGCAATAAGTTAGAAACATTCCTCAATATTTCTTTTAATTGATTTCGATATTGACATTTGTTTATGTGCAAAACCGCACAGCATATGCATCTAGCCGACGCCTGTCACAATATTAAAAACACATTTTCGCGTAGCACTATATTTCATTTAATCACAGTATAATTTTTATAAAATTTGTTATTATTTACGTACCTTATTTATAAAATTTTTATAAAAACACACACTTTATCTATTTATCATAAAATCTAATGTTATACATTAAAATCACGGAGCGTATATTATTTGTGCATATATGCGCGACCGCCGCTAACACGTCGATGAGTCAGTGACCGAAGTGCTGCCTGAAGTCGAGGGAAAGGAGTCGAGCGATATTATTGTGACGCGTTATGGCAATACATTCAAGGAAGAAATTCGGTTCGGTTCGGCTCGGTTCGGTTGGTTACGCAGATTCTGTTAAACGGGAAACAGAATTGAGTTTATTTTTTAAGCTGAGTTAAATTTATAATTAAATGCAATTAATATTTATAACTTTGTGATACAATTTTCTTTGAAGCATACAGAATTGTTTCCATATATAAGACGTAAGTTCTTTAAGACATGTATATAAATTATTGTTAGTTTCATGATCAAAGAAAACTTTAAGGGATTTTTGATACAACAGACAATAATGAAATAATTAATTTAATGTATTAATTATGAGTGCAATATCTTTACTATATATACCTAAACAATTGTGTGAACTAGTCAAAATACTTGTAAATGTATATCAAGTTTAAATGAATTTTTGTGCAGATTGTGTGGAGTACCTGATGGCTAACAATATGGCTGTCATATTTAAAATTGTTAAAATCCGTCCAAAATTTTCAAAGCACTTGAGTTATCAAATTAGAAGAATTTACTAATGCTAACAATTAAAAGAACATGAGAGATATTATATGGAAAGTTGAGGTATGTATTATAATTGTTTCCTGATAATTTACTGTCCCAGAATGATGCAACAATTGCAACATCAAAGAATAAAATTGACTGACATACAGTTGCATATAATATTAGTTTGCTATTAATTTAACTAACGCTTATGCATTAGTTGACACTGCACCTTACGACACATGTGCAATAATTAAAGTATTAATTAAAATCAATCAGTATTTTTATCGATTAACATCAAATTCATTATCGATTAACATTATAGAAATATAGAATTGATATAAATAATATATGTTCTAATATAATATATTTCATACATTTTCTAATTTATATTTGTATATTAATTAAAAACAATAATTTTTATTATTGATTAAAATCAATATGTTTCCTTCTTTAATACCAATAATTAATAATATGGTATAAATTATGAATGTACCTAAAAAAAATTTTTTTTTACTTTTATGAATCATTAGATCCTTACTACCTTTTCAACTGCTATTTTAAAATATTTTATTTTCATTATATTAATGATGATTATTAAAATTTCCTAAATTATGCTCATTTCAGATTCTAAAGAAAATTAAACGTCAGGATGAATTTATTTGCAAATATTTCTGTGCAACAGGATCTGTAATTCAGAATGATGTAAAAATGAGTAAATAAATGTATAAACTATGTTTTTCAACTACAGACATTTAAGGTTATTCAGAAAAATAACACCGAAATTTACAAAAGTACCTATTTTTCACAAATTAGGCAGTGACTGCTAAATATAATTCTAATCAGAACTCGATAAGTTCACCAATGCATTTGTGTAATTGTTATGTAATGGTACAGGCCATGTACCACACTTTTAATCCACGATATGCCACAATGATACATATAGCGTTCCATAAAATAAATAAGTTTCTTATGCACTCGTGCTGAATAATGTACCATTGTCCTTAGTACATTCTAGACCATGTTGAAGATGGTACATGCCCTGTGTATTTTTGTACTTTTACAATACATATTCTTGAAATCAATAATGAAATATTCAGTTAATACTTTTATTGCACGTGCAGCTTGGGTTAAAAAGAACCCCAAATTTTCTGCGCCTGTAGGGTCAACCTGTCATCAGGAGCAAATAAAACAAACAATTATTGTAGATATATTTTTATAATTAATTTAACTGCATATACAAAATGTTACAACATTTCTTTCAATTTGACTAGTTAGGTTTGGTAAAACAACTCATAGCCATAAACTTATTCTACTGTCATTACACATTACGATAAACTTAATAAAATACTGTGCCAAACTAAATCTAGCCATAAAATTAATAACAAGATATAATAAATTAACTACAAAGTTTCTGATATAATATGTAACATATTCTATAAATTGGTATTTACAACATCTAATAATAATATATACAAACTTAGGATAATTTTTTAAAGGTATTTGTCTTTCGAACTAGCAATGAGAAATTTTTTATTCTTGCGAATAGTTATCATAGTTCAGTGGTGATTTCATCTTGTGGTCTTAAGCCAAGTTGAAAACACTCATCTTCCAACCATAAGCTGGTGTCTGCTCCTTCAGCATTCGTTCGTAATTGCCATTGCTCAGCAGTAAAGTAGTATTTCCATCTGAGAACGGCTCGACAAAGTCTTGCAAACTAAGCGCGGAACCAAACCCATTCGACGGCTTGAAAGTTGTCACAGACGTTTGAATAGCTTTATCGTCGTAAGAAGGCGATTGTAAAAAGTTTATTAATTGTGCTACCTGCGGTTGACTTTCATTACTTATATGTTTATAACGCGTTATTAACTTTTCGGCCCACTGATTCAACTTCTTCAATCATTGGGAACATTAACAATTGTTTCCACAGGCCTATTCAATAAATATAATAATTTAGCCAAATCTCTCACCACTGGCCAGTATGTTAAAGCCGCAGTAGTATCACCATTAGCATGTACTTCTCGTATTTGCCGTCGGATATCGTTCAAAATTGCCACAGCAAGCAATAACTTTGTGGTCGTAGTCGATCTAACTCTTTTAAAAATTCCGCTCTTTGGGAGTTAATTTTCTTCTGAGGACGTTTACGGTATTTTGCAATAAGTATACCTGCAGTTATAATAATGATGCAGACAACTCCTCCTGCACAAGCGCCTATTACTACAGCTAAACCCGCACCAGATAATCCACCTGGTCCTGTTTTCAGACACACTTTGCCCATATAGTCTGGAAGAGCAGACCAGGAAGCTGATCTGCCAGAAGGACAATCATCGACGCAGGCCCGACTTCCTTCCACTATCAATACTGGACATTTGATGCATCCTGTAGGACCACATCTTAGACATTGAGAGTCAGCACCACAGCCTAAATAATTAAATAAATACATTAATATTCTGATAATGCAATAATTATATATATATATATATATATATATATTATAAAAATGTGAATATGAACACACTACACTGATGAGATATAAGTAGTGTTCATACAAAATTCTACATGTATATTCATAGATATATATGTACCTCAACTGTAAATGTTTATGTATAAACTACACTTTCTGAGGGTTTAATAGATCAGAAATCTTTTAAAATCTAAGAAAACGTAGTAAAAGTCCTTGGTGTTAAAATAAAATTTCGTAGAAATTGAAGAATAAATTACAAATAAGAATAATATAAGATTGTGACTGTTATGAGAATTACAGAAATCGTCGCAGAATGAAACTATTCTGAATTCTAGAAAATTTTAATAAAATTATAGGACAATTAAAAATATACAGCAATACTCGAGCAATTCATCATATAAATGAACTAATTTACGATAGTGTTTCCGCCTGTACATTGCAAGTCAACTAATTGAATAATAGTGTTAGGTCATGGGGTTAGCATTTTCAATTATACCTTCCGTCGCAATAAAAACTGAATCGAAAGGAATGATATTTTAAATGTATACTCATTAATTACATTAATGAACCAAAAGGGATTCAATCAAAGATCGGAGTATTTTGAGATGCCTAAGTAATTCTGAAGATTGAATTTGCACAACTCTGGCCAAGACAAATACAAAATCACATTGTCTGCGAACTCTAAATTTATATTATATTATGTTTCTGTCCGGGTGGTTTTTAAGTACAGTATACTTGAAATATTTTTTTTAGAGTGAATAGGTGCATAATCAGGGTCGCTGCAAAACCTTAAAAGGTTTTTACACGGGCTCTGTCGTAATATTTACATTTTTGTACCACTGACTTCCTCAAAAACATTTTATTTAAAATCCACAGATTTTTATCAAAATATCTAAAATTTCTACAAAACAAAGATTTTAACTTTAAATTACTAAATGCTTTACATGTTTTTGTTTCCGAAGACAATCTCGTTGCTCATGCTTTCAATCTGACGAAGTTATTCGTTGTGAAAACGAATCATAATTTTCATTTTATTTGTATTGCCATTTTGTTTATTTACTATGTGATAACATGAAATATTTTTCTGTCAGTGATGTGAAGTTTATTTCGGCAACCCTAGCTAAAAATGTTTCCTTTCGAGGGAGTTCAGTGCCAGACCCATGGATTATGTTATCTGGCGCGTGACACGTGTTACGTGCCTACAAGTGACATTGAAGGGTGGCCAACAGGGCGGCATTTCGAACTTCAAAATAGTCTTGAAGACGATGGCCAAGATAAAGAAGATTGACCATATAAATTGGCCACAATTATAAATTATAAATTGGTAATCTTGGCCTCATTGAGAAAAATTATAGCATATCTCACGATAATGAACAGCTTAAGCTAAATATTTTGATTATTAAAAGAATACCAAAAATTAAAATAATAGTGAGTTATTTATAGTAGCAGATATTTTTATAACGTGATAAGAAACATTAGTTTAGAACCTCCTACATGTTATATGAATATTTCATAAGATGTTATATATTAATTTTCATAATGACGTTATAAAACTACCATCTTCATTTTCAGTATTCATCTACCTTCATTCTCAGTTTATGCTTCGATTTTACTTTTCTAGTATTTTCTAGTTTTTTAAAAAAAAAAACGGACATGTTACAATTTTTGCTGTAATTGTATCATAAAATATACAAATTTTTGAATACAAACCGTTGCACCAGTGTTTATATGTTGTGATTATTGGTGCCACTTAATGCAATTTGTGTTACTTTGTCCGAGATTCGCAATGTTGAAAAGTAACTTATTAGAAAAGTATGAAACCGTAAAATCTCTGATCGTTTTACAAATTCGAAAATGTTATTACACGTATCTTATTTTTCTACTACAAAGAATTTATGGCCAACTTGTGTTTGAATTTTTTTCATTTTTTCACAATTAAAAAAAATTCATTTTTTGTATAATTTTTAATATTTTTTTGCTAAAATCAAATTTTAGTTTCTTTAATAATTTTGTTCGTTTAATGTTTATTTTCAACCCGTGTAGTTATATCAATTTTCCTTAAAGCTCAATGCCCATACACCACTAGTTTTCCTTTAATTACTTTGTTATACCATTTTTTTGGACGCAAAGTAATACGGCACTGATGACCGTGGGTTTATGTACCTATCTGCAGGATTGATAAGGGAGCAATAAATATATGTTAGAGGGGTACATTTACTTTGAACATCATTGGCGTTACATAGAGTCTAAATCATTCCATGCAAAAATAAATTAAAAAGAAATAGTTTAATAATGCATATTTAAACTATTCATTATGCAATAATAAAATTGTAACTTGACTATCATAGCCTAAATACAAATATTTCTTATAGTTTTAAAATTTAACGTATAAGCATTTGGTTGGTCCATGAGTCAAATTGAAGCAAATTCAAATTGTAGGGGAGATTGGGTACGGTTGTGTCAGGCTACGGTACTGAAAGTCGTCATAACAGCTAAACTATGCTGATTTTGAGAAATGGTCAAAGGGGAGAAGAAAGATATAGTATGTTTGTTTGAACAAGTTTTCATTATTGCTTTCAGTCGGCGCCCTGCAATAACAGGATCTGTAGACCGCATTGCTTTTAACGAGTCAAAACTGAACTTTTAAAAGCTTCGAACGGAATTCAGTTCGATTTTTTTTAAATAATAACGGATACTTATATACAGACAGATTACTTTGTTTGCTATTTTGAAATAAGTGGAACATTAGTAGTTAATTACTGGCAATTAGCTTTTGTGCAGATAATCGAGCTCGATCATAACGACGATTTGTCTCCAAAAGTATGCGTTGAATCCGGTTGTGACAAACTTTGTGGGTACGGTTGTGACATGTATTTCTTGTCCTTTTCGGGTGTAGATTAAACAAATATTCTTGCTGATGAAAAAAAAGTGGCACAACCGGAGTCTACCCAAATGGGATTTGATAGACAAACGAAAGATTATTTATGATGAAGAATATATAAATGGCTCTATAATTTTCTAAATTTCTGAAAATGAGCTGTATTATTATAACTGAATTATAATATTGGTTGTGAGTGATTTTAAATTTGTGTAACACTGATACCTTACAGTATTCGATACAGATAGCTCTTTCATCCAAACATTATGGTGATAACTGAATCTCAATAAACAATTATATTTCATAGTTAAAAAATATAATATATTTATTATATAGCAAAGGATCAGTTGAAATATAAAATTCATTGATAATGACTGTTTCTTCTACTACTATATCCCTTACACGCCCATTTCTTCATATCTTCTATTTTTTAATTCTTACATTAGTATAATATAGAATAAAGAAAACAATTTAGAAGTATAAAGAGAATACTTTTTAAATGAGTAAAATATTATCATTGTGTTTTGGAAAATAAAAGAAATAATTTTGTACATTTTAAAATATGTACTCTCATAATAAAACATACATGGAAATGTGCAGAAATAATCAAGTTTCCTGCCCGACCGCCGGATGTGTATATGCGCGTCTCTGAAAGGAAACGCTCGGGGTTGTAAAAAAAGTTAGTTATTCGAGGGTTCGTCACATACGATGCTGTATATAAATCACAAGGCCGTAAAAGCATTACGCGAAAAGTAATACCTCATAACTTCGTCGAATACTTTTTCAAAACATATTTTCTGTAGAAATATGACTTCAGGAAAGTTTGTACGTGCGTCATTTAGATACAACATCATTAGGAATTTCAAAATGTCAAATACTAGCGAGCCTAGTGTTACGACGCTATAATATGTTCTTGTATATTTAATATTCATTTAAAATATTATAAGTTTATTTGAACTAATTCTGTATTTTTTATATTAATTCCACGATTCGTGACATTAAAATAAACATAAAAATAAATAGTAAAAATTTAATATAATAAACTTAGTATTAAATGACATTTGTTTATTTATACTATATTATTTCGAATCAGAAGTTTCAAGTTCGCTACCTGTCTCAGACAGCCTGATGTCCTGCAGTAATGACATTGGTTTTCACTTGAAAATATAAAAAGCAACATGTAGTCACGTGAAATATCGGTCATACCGGCAATGATCTATCGATAAAAAATTTATTGGTATTACAGAAATTGTAATCATAAAATTTATCATATGGAGATAGCAACCGTTCGGGTTGTCATCTAAAAAAGGCCAAGCATAAAAGCTTATAGAACTTGTTAAGTTTTGAATGCTGTTAAAAATATACAAAGAAAAAATTGTTTGCTTGTTCAAGTTGATATGTTTTTGAATGTAGCTTACTTTCATAATTACATTTATTTCAAATTTTCAACATAGAAATTTTAGTTCGTAGACTGTTTAAGCGAAATAGCAAAGACGGGTTAATTATTAAAATATATCATTTTAATTATTTTAGAATATCCAACGATTTTAGAATTTCCGTCTACAGAGACACGATCTCCATTTAACAACAAATGTCCAATGTTTTTCGGTAACTTAATAAATGATATTATTTCATAAAATATAAGCAGGGTGTAAACTAAAATATCGAAGTGTTTACCGATATCAATTTAGCCATAACATAAGCGGACCTTAGAAACTTCTAACTTTTCGATAGAGACATAATATTTATTCATTAATAACTACTAATTCAATTAAACAGTTAAACACTTTAGAGTGTAAACTGCTCATTAAATTATTTATTAACTAATCTTCACCATATAATTATTATTTACTTTACTCATTAGCTTTCAAGTATCTAAAAACTTGCATAATAATTTGTTTCACATATTCATACCAGAGCAAAGCTAGTTTATATCTACTTATAAGAAATAATTAAGTATTTTTTGACGAATATTAAAATTTACTATACAACAGCATACTTTTAAAACTTATATTATCAACAATATATAAGCTTTAAAAATATATGCTTGTAATATAATTTTTAAAGCTTTATTTAAAT